TTTCATTCGAATTTTTATCGTTTGTGGTTAGTTTGGTAAGGTTGGTACTTTCCTGTTAAAGGGAACATGAATTATTATCGATGATTTTTTTCTCGATATAACTTAAGTAACTTAATTAAATCCACATTAACAATTAAATTGAAACATAGGCTATCAACTACGATAGCTATATAGCTATATAGATAGCTATATAGCTGACAACTACGATAAATATTGTTCAGTAACTTATCAAAAACCAATAAGGAAATGAAACTATTCTAAAAAAAATATTCTAACATAATTAACCAAACTTGCTGTGAAACATTTAAAAATTCAGTGTTTAACTTGCCTTTTCTGTTAGGCCTATCAAACGGAATTTTTAAATGGTACAGCAAGTTTGGTTGGTTATGTTAGGTTAGCTTAGAACAGTTTCATTTCTTAATCCATCTATAAGTTATAACTTAATTCTATTTTAGCCTAAACAAGATCAGTAGTAATAAGTAATCAATTTGTAATGGATCGGAAAACAAAAATATCGATACATAAAAAAAAATCATCAATGAGTAGTAAGTTACCTAATAATTGTTCCATTTAACAGGAAAGTATTGGGGTGAACCTAGCAAAAGTAAAGCCAATAAGATTAGTTGCTGGTCGTTTGCAGAAAAATACAGCTGTGTAGCACATTACCGACAATGTCACCAGATAGAGGACACTTTAATGGAGACGACACATCATTATCATGTACCTGGGGAGTAAGTTAGGGAGGGGGGGTTAAGTCAGCAATAGGCCTACGTAGTGCGCGCGCCTTATAAAATCTATAGCTATGGGATATGTGGGAACTATTTTGGATATCCTGTTCTGTGTGGGCTATCCTTCTATGTCGTCTTCCAATACCTTTAGTTTACCCTGCACAACAAGACTGTTGACTATTGGAAATGAGATTGATCCATGAATGGAATTGAGATAGACAAAAGGAAATGAGATTCATAATCCTTCCAGTTCAATTTTCATCATAGGGCTCTATTGAAAAGTTGGTTCCAACCAACATCATTACCTCTTTTTGGGTTTGTATTTTATTCACCGTCGCCAGTAAAATAAAATCAAAACTAAATTGAACTAGGGTGGAGGCTCCGGTTATGGCCACCATACCCCTTATGGCCACTTTCATTTTATTGGTCCATTTTTAAGCTTAAACCTGTTTTGAACCAGCAAAAACACAGCTTACTATAAACAGATGACTTTGGGCAACATATTTAGTTGGTAGACATTGTGAATCTAATACATGTGGCTGTGCTGTTAGAAATTTCACCATGTGATGCACAGATTTGTTAAGTTTCTTGTGAAATGCGTTAAGAGTTGTAGCTGTTTCTGAAAATCGTAGAAAATTCATCTGAAGCCATAGGAAGGTGAAATTTATTTTCCAGGTAAGAGAAAACTCTGTATTTACTATATAATTGTATTGCAACTCACATAACCTCAAAACAAAATAGATAAGTACCATGGCCATTAGTGGGTCACAATATTCCTGGAGTAACTAGTTATGGCCACTTTGTGACCATAAGGGGTTTCGTTCAGTTCCTATTTATGGCCATGTTTTGATGTTGATAGTATTTTAATATGTTCAGTTTTTGCTGGATAAAATAAATATTGAATGGGCTTTAGAGTAGCTTTTTCATAAAGCCTGTAAGTAAATCCACAAACAAAACCAGGCCTAGGCCTTCTTATTAATCTAAGAATTTGAGTAAAAATACTTATACCGGTAGCATAATAGCCTACTATAGAAATAAAACAAAGTTTTATAGTTTAGCCTATGCTTAATAAGGCCCTATTAAATTTTTTAAAGTATTTATCAACTCAGCTACATTTGCTAAATAATTTAAATCTGTATCTAGGCCTATCTGAAAAAAAGTTTTTTATTAAGCCTAGAATATATTAAATCCTTACAACCCTTTGAGATAATATTATTTTTTCAGGAACATGGCTTCAAGAATCAATCGTAAAGGTAGAACAGATAAAATTACTAAGTTAAGAAGAAGAAGCGTTTTCAATACTCCCCTTCGAAAGTGGCCAGAGCCCTGGAGGCAGTAAAAGATGGAATGCAAGTAAGCAATTTAATGTCCCAAGGACAACTCTGAGAAACAAATTGTCTCACATTTCCCCAGCTGAATCTACAGGACACTGTGGACCTCACTCGTGTTAGGTAAAGATGTGGAAGAAATGTTGGTTCAGTGGATCATTGATTGTGCTAATATGGGATTTCCAGTGAATAAGGAAGATTTATATGTTCTTCAGTGAAAACCCTGTTGGATGAAGGAAATGTTAAGGAGAACTTGTTTTCTAATAACCGGCCTGGGAAAAAATGGTATTATTCTTTTCTAAAGCGGCATCCTACCATTTCCCAAAAACATGCTGAGTATGTCAACCGAGCTAGGGGTGCAGTAACTGAAGATAAGATAACGGTGATTTTGTTTTAGCTAGATTTTCTCTCACAGGAAAAAATTTCTTCTAGTGACAGAATATAAATATGTTGGTGTAATTTTGAAAAAAATATCAAATTCTGAATTTGAAATTCAGTGTCTGAAATGCGTTGACTCAATGAAGACCCAATTTGTAATAATTGAGAATGATGTATCACAAATAAATATTTCGAACATTATCGGTAAACTGCCAGAGCCAAGCCTTAAAGAACATGGTGGATTGTTGTTAAATGTATTTCCAGGAGCAGTGAAAACAGTGGAAAAACACTAAGACTATGATAATGTTCTATCTTACTTTGTCATTATTTCTTGAGAATCTATATTATACATGGAAACATTTTGTACGAATTTTATACACTGTAATTTTTCTTACAGTCTTTAAGAAGAAAGGAAAACCCTTATACCAAGTCTTGTAGTTTTTTATAAATAAAGTATTAAAACATTGTTTGTGTTTTTAATAAATTAACCTTAATTTGTAAGCCTATTTTGAATATTTAGATTGAGTGGCCATAAGTGGGGAAAGGTATGGCCATAACCAAGCACTAGGTGGCCAAAACTGGAGAAACAGGTATTATTTTTTACAAAAATGTTTAAAAAAAATGTTTAAACAATAGTTAGTTTTTCAACATATGAAATGAGTTGTTAAAAGTTCAAATTACTAGAATAAGCATTTAAATCAGTAATAGAGGCAATATCTTTTGCAATAGTAGGTAACAAAATAAAGGAAATGCTTAAGGTGGCCATAACTGGTGCCTCCACCCTAATCTCTGTTTTCAAGTGATTTTAGAAGAGTAGGAATACATCCAATAAACCTTTACTAAGCTTAAAACTCTCATTGAAGAATTCAATTATAAAAAAATAAAAAAAACACCTGAGGCTTAGTCTGCAGGTTTGCTGCGGCGGGGGTATTACAGTATTTTAAGCACCGTTTGTAAACAATCATCAAAATGATCATTTCGTTTTGTAACTGGAACCAGTGGAACCGAGACTGTGACAAGCAGCATTTCCGGACGAAACAGTCACAACAAAAGCTGGTGCAAAATGTGCATGTGCAGCATTAAAAAAAAAATACGCTCATTTCGAGTCGCCTCGCCAGGTGTGTTTCTATTTTCAGCTAAGTCATTGACTATAAAAACATATATAGGTATATATCAAATCAAATCTTTATTCATCATTAAATAACATGAGTTACAATAGATTTCGTCAAAAAGTATAATGTAAATACCTTAAAGACACCTCAAAACAGGCTAGGCCTACAGCATGAAAGACAATTGGTTGAAAGGTTTCCAGACGATAAAATAAGTAAATAAATAAGCAGTTCAGACGAATGCACCTCGTAAAGAATTATTTTGGTAACTAAGTTAACTTATTGAATAAATATATACATAAAAACTGGTGTATAATTTTAAAAAGCAGGTACGGTACCGGTACATAAATATATATAAAGCCAACAGCAAAATTCAACAGTTCCATCTTCTAATGTTTGTTCACCTTTTGTTTAACTCTAATCGTTAAAATGACTGAGATTGGGGCAGTGGCTAGTTCTAGGCTAGGGGCAGTTTTAGGACAACAACAAGAGACCAGGATGGTACACTCATTGCCCATAGGAGGACTTAAGATTCAAGATTCAAAAAGGACCAAGTAGGCAAAGAGACTAGACTAGTAAGGTTAAGGTTTAACGTTTTTTAGGTAACAATCAGTCATTATAAAGCTTAAATTAGCACAAAAAGCAAAAAATTGTTACTTAATTATTTTGACACAACAATGTGATCAAATTAACCCTTTGCGGTCGAATGGCGAGTATAGGTCGCTGCCCGCCATTTTGCCAACTGCTCAAAAGTGGCGACCTACAAGGACCCAAAAAAAAAAATTCAAAAATCAAAAAAGTTAATTTTTTTTGTCGAATGGCGAGTATAGGTCGCTGGGCGCCATTTTTCTGACTGCTTGAATGGCAAGCTAAATTCACCGGAAAATGTGGAAAAAATTCGACCTCAAAGGGTTAACAGTGTAAATAGCAAAATATCTTTGTAATATTTCATATAGGTAATAATTTTTATCATAGCCTATCTATAATATCATCATATAGGCTAAGCTTATTTAATAATAGATATATAACTGTGTAATAGATCCCACCTGCTTTATGAATAATATTGAACAGTTTAGATCATTTTATAGGTTTGAGGGTTACGTTAACAGCCCAGGACAATAGTGCAAGTGCATGTATTCAGCGATGCAAGCTAAGTGTAGCTAGCAGGAGCTATGGCGCTCGCGTGGCACATGTAGTTAGGTTAGTGTAAACACCTACATTTACATAACATTAAGAGCTACGTCAGCGACATATTCCGAAAACGTAGTAAGATGCTTGGCTACGACGGTGTGAACAGTCCTTTAAAGACGGCTGCTAGTGACTATTTGCCATAGGAGATGTCCGACTTTCTAGACCTATGTGATTTAATTTTTACTCACTGGCGATTGCTAGTCGCCGCTAATTTAAGTACCTGTAAAATTATCTTGTTCATAATATAGTTTAACTTAATGTTTCAGTTATAATCGGAGACTGTGGCAGAGAAATTGATGATTGCATCCGAATGCCAGATCTTGTCACTACTTGGATTTATAAAAGGTAAATTATAGATGTATTTAACCAGTTATAATTATATAATTCTATATATTTTGGTCTAAAAACCTTCAGTGAAATACCGGCTTTCATTTAAGCTATTACTTATTCAAATCGGACGAGTTTCAAGCAAACGCAAGGTGAACAACCAAAATAAAAATTATTTTTTATAAGATTTTTCTATGATTAATAATCAATCTCTCCAGGGGCCCTATTTTTGAAATGGTTGACAGTTGAGTCTATCGTCAACACTCAACTCAACCAACAACAGGATTTGGTATTTTTGAAACCCAACAGTTGTTAAGTGAGTTAGGAATCACTAGTTGAGTGCGAGTTGAGTGACTCGTTTTGGAAATGTAGGGCATACGACCGCACAAAATTCAGATGACGTCATTTTGAACCAATCACAATGCATAGTTCTTGTGATCTTCAATTTAACCTCTTCTTACTCTAAAATCTGGATCAGCTAATCTTAATCTACCATATTTTGAGACACTGAGGTAAACTGTCAACTCCGTTCTTGGGAGATTGAGGTTATGTCTTGCTTAATCTTAGTGATTGCAAAAGTACCTTAACTTGTATAAACTTAAGTATTAAAAATAAAATTTACTATGGATGTTTGTTTTAGGGTGTAGCTAATTATAAGTTTAGGCATATCCTAAATACATTATTATTTGCTTTCTTCTTCTCTATTTCAGAACACATCACCTTGTTTTAGTTTCCTTCATCGTGTTGTTTCATGTTATTTTTAATTGTGTTTTTATTTAGGTTAATGCGGCTATTTGCCATTGTACTGAAAGCATATCGTAACTTTAATTAATTTGATCCCTTTATTAGGTGAATGGTATTGAAACAAACTATGATATTGTTTCTCTCTACCACAATCTTTAATACCTTAAATCAGGTCTAATAACTAGTCCAGGAGCTGAGGGAGTTTGAGCATGCATAAAAGTAGTACACAATGTTATTGCTGATTATTGTAATATGGACTGTGGTGATCAAAATTACGTATTTCGCCTATTTCAAAAGTGGTCGATAAGGTGGGGGGGGGGAGGGGGCAAACATGGCGGTTTGCGCTATGCGTTAAAACGCTGATAGTTCGAAAACGGTAAAAGATAGAACATCGGTTAAAACGTCGTTGTAATTCTAAAAATGCGGACAACAATAATGGTTATTGGGTCCGAGGTCGTATCCCTATAAATAAACAAGTTATTGTATAAAATATGTAAAAATGGACTTTTCGTGTAGTTTTTTTTACCGAAAGTAGAATTAATTTGTGAGTGTCGCAAAGAAGTAATATCAAATATCTTTGGTGATAGTTGTAATATGGACTGTGGTGATAAAAAATACGCATGTCGCCTACTTTTCAGGTGATCGAGAACTTGGGGGGAGGGGGGCAAAGATGGTGGAACGCGCTATGGCGGAACGCGCTATGCATCGAAACTACTGTAGCTCGAGAACGGTACGAGATAGGACATCGGTTAAAACGTAGTTTTAATCCAAAAAATATTACCAATAGAAAAGGTCATTGGGTAAACAGTTGTATCTTAACTAATAAAAAAGTTATTACAAAAATAAGTTTAACAAAATCTACATCGTACAGCTAATTTTTTCGAAAATCGTATGGATTGTTGATAAATAATAGTGTAATTACTTAATTACTCGGATAAATATTAACTAGATGCATTTTCTCATAAGAAAAAATATATTATTACGAATACATTTGGTTTAAAATGTAAAACACGGCCTCCAAACGCCTTGGGGTTCGTCCGATAGGTTGCTCATAATTGCTGCGCAGTGCTGCTGATATCGGCACAACTGTTAATCCCCCCAAAAAGTTCATTGCCTTCCAACTCAGTGATATCGGGGTTGTGAAAGTGTTTGTACTGTTTAATACTACTGACATTTATTGTGTTTTATTTATAAAAATAACATTCTTTTATAATTTTTAATAATTATTTAAATATTTTAAATTTCAATACAATTTATTTTAAGTTGCTTACGTTTTGTAAAGAAAATATTTACAATTTGTTCATTTGTATTACAGGTGCTAAGAGAAATTAAAAAGGTACCTATTTAAATTCAACAAATAATATGAACAACCAGTATAATTGTTATGGATAGAATGAAGAGATTTGCCTTATTTTTTATTATAAGGTATTTACTTTTGTAGTAATGTTTTTTATTTCATATAACTGTATTGAATAAGAATCTGTTACATAATCATATTGTAATAACCTATAACATTATAATAATTAAAATTGGAAATGTAGTGGTAGTCTGTATTATGCATTTGATTGCGGTGAAACCCCAAGTATTATATGTAGTTTGGAGGGTGTGTTTTACATTTTAAACCAAATGTATTCGTAATAATATATTTTTTCTTATGAGAAAATGCATCTAGTTAATATTTAGCCGAGTAATTAAGTAATTACACTATTATTTATCAACAATCCATAAGATTTTCGAAAAAATTAGCTGTACGATGTAGATTTTGTTAAACTTATTATTGTTATAACTATTTTATTAGTTAAGATACAACTTTTTACCCAATGACCAGGGGCGGCTCCAGAGGGCAGGCCAGGTAGGCCCGGGCCTACCCAACATATAAATTTAAGGTGGATATTTAAATTTATAAATAAATTTAACTATATGTAAATAAAGAGACAGCATTCAAACTAATTATTTTATATTTAAACGTTAAAATTCCCCCCTTTTTGAGGGGAAAGTCCTTCAAACCTCTCGACCCCTGATCAAACTTTCTTGATCCTAATTGTCAGGCCTACCCAAAAGATTATTCCTGGAGTCGCCCCTGCCAATGACCTTTTCTATTGGTAATATTTTTTGGATTAAAACTACGTTTTAACCGATGTCCTATCTCGTACCGTTCTCGAGCTACAGTAGTTTCGATGCATAGCGCGTTCCGCCATCTTTGCCCCCCTCCCCCCAAGTTCTCGATCACTTGAAAAGTAGGCGACATGCGTATTTTTTATCACCACAGTCCATATTACAACTATCACCAAAGATATTTGATATTACTTCTTTGCGACACTCACAAATTAATTCTACTTTCGGTAAAAAAAACTACACGAAAAGCCCATTTTTACATATTTTATACAATAACTTGTTTATTTATAGAGATACGACCTCGGACCCAATAACCATTATTGTTGTCCGCATTTTTAGAATTACAACGACGTTTTAACCGATGTTCTATCTTTTACCGTTTTCGAACTATCAGCGTTTTAACGCATAGCGCAAACCGCCATGTTTGCCCCCTCCCCCCCACCTTATCGACCACTTTTGAAATAGGCGACATACGTAATTTTGATCACCACAGTCCATATTACAATAATCAGCAATAACATTGCGTACTACTTTTATGCATGCTCAAACCCCCTCAGCTCCTGGACTAAACAATAATTATCTTATAATAAGTTTAATTAGTATGTCTAAACTATTTCAAACATACCAACAAGGATAAATATAAAACCCTTGATTAAATAGTCTGTCTAGTATTGACACAGTAAATAAAATTAAAATGCAATTATTCTACAACAGAAAACAATCGCATAAAGTATTGGGCTTTTTCTAGCTGTCACTGATATGTTTACATAAATGTTGTTTACGAATACTGTGTAGGCCCTAACTATTTCCGATCACGATTGTAAGCAAAACCAAAACCAAGTGAGATTAATAACCGTGTGGCTTTGGCTTACATAACGGGTTTGATTTATCACGGGTACTAATGTAACTGTAAATTAAATTAAATAACTAGCCATCATCCAGGTTGGGAACCGGAGATTCTGTGTGTATCAAGTTGTACTTGAATTTTGATTACCGGGAAAAGACCGAGAATCCGTGTTGTACAGGACTGGAAAACTTATCTTTCTATATAAATAAAATTAGAGTTTTATAAGTCACCTCAATTTAAGGAATTTTTTATCACCAGAATATCCATATAGCGTTCGTAACCTCTGCTTAACGAATTGTCAGCGTCTTTCTCTTGATATAACGATCCCCTGTCCCTCCCTTTAGAAACATCACAGCTCCTTTGATGAAAATGAAATGGAAACAACGCTTGTGCCAACAATCATCTGCTCCGTTTTACACTTCTGTCTGCTGTGCGCTATGTTACAACAGATTTCAGATACTGTACAACAGCTGGGGAATGATGACAATATAATGCTTAGTAAACTGTGATTGAGTGATTAGTAACCATGGTAACTTTAGTAAGGCTGTGATTGGCCAATGAGTAGGCCTAAATATGGCGATTTTTTGAATTTGTGTATGAATTGAAGAGATACCTATTGAAGAAAAGAAGAACAAAGAAAAAAAAATATCAAGATTGTTCTCGTTACATTCTTTTTTAAGAGTGTTTTAGTTATCTCTAAATATAATTTTACACTTTTTTATCAGGCCTACTTATCTATCAATTCCTATGCTGTGATACAGCACCTCGGTAGCCTATATGTCCATCATGAGCAGTACCTTTATAACACTTTCTAAAGGTTCCTTTAATATTTACGTTATATATAGCAATGCAGTGTTTGGCTAGTTATTAGTTGAGTTTGAGTTATCTATAATTTTAAACGTTGCCGTTTGTACAACTGAACCAAGATAAATGATTTGAAAATTTTTAAAATAATAATGTTATAGCACAATAATAATGATTGTGCAATAATGAATTTCGTTTATAAGAATGCAAATCGTAACGTTAATGGCTGTTTACAGTGTTTTAATGGGTTTGTCATCATTCTGTTTTCATACTATATTGGATTAACCATATTTTTCATCACTCCCCCTCCCTATTAACTCAGGTAATCGAATATCTACACAATAGTGCAAAGTATTGTAGCCTATGCCACTTGATTGTATTTTAACTAGCTTTATGTCAACAAAGCGTTCTGGGCTAAGTCGCGGTGTAGCTGGACGTGTCTGTACCATGCGTTATCTTTTATCTATCACAGAAGTTGAGCCATCCCGTGCGCTCCCTCTTAGATCTCACGTCTTGCTAATCTTGAATAATAACTTTCTACACGAATCCTAAACTATCCTAAAATCCTATTTTAACTAGGCCTAATTGAATTCAATAATATAACTATTGTCATTAATTAATCCACTTTCTATCTGGCGACTTCGTAATATATTTTGTATTGTCGTCACGTTGAACACTGTTGCAATTAGCTTTAGCCACCCCCCCATTTGAATTTTTAGCCCCCCCCCCCCCCAAGAATTTCAATGACGCAGTCTGCGTCACAGCCCCTCCTTGTGGGCACCCCTGCTACGACCATCCACCAAGTTTTTGCCAGTCAGTTTGTGGTACCCGACCAACAGTAACCGACAAAGTAGATTTGCAGGTACACAAAAATCGCTTACTAATGTTGCACTACAACTTGTTAGCTGTACTACCGATATGCACTCCCAAGGAGTTGTACTAACTACTGCAAAGTGAATTTCCTGCTGGCAATCGCGCTTCCAGGAACTTTTAAACTGTAGTAGTAGGGCTTATATATGAATTTGAACGGATAGTATTATTGCCCTCTGGGGACATCTAAATTAAAAAGTTAGTCCCGCGTCCAGGTCTTACCATGAGACCTCTGGTAATAGCTTATTCATTATATATAGGAAATTTGCTATAAATGCGTGTGAATAAAGCTATAACTAAGCTTTGGGTTTTCCATGGTTAAAATAATGACGGCCTTCTTCTGAAAAAAAGCCCAAAGAGAACATTGTATTTTTACATAAGTCTTAACTGGTAATATCAAATTATCTGATCAAAAGCATTTGCCAGGAATTATTAAGGAAATTTACAGGAAAGCAGGCTTACCTTTAAATAAGTCCATAGAGACACATATATAAACAATCCAAAACAGACATTTTTGTGGTAACCTTTACAACCGCTAGAGATAGTAGTTTTCATCACCAGGAGCAAAAGTTGTTTTTTTTTTGGTACGCTATCGCGTTGTACAAGCAAGGTGCAGCCAAGCTTGGAAATGATAAGTACCAAAAAATTCTTTTGCTCCGTGTGATACAACTATTTTCATGTGATTGTGGAAATAACCTCATAGATTGACCACCAAAATATAGGCCTACCACATAATTTGAGGATATACCAAGACGTCATCATTGTTTACATTTCTGTTGTTTACAAACATAACTTTAAATATCTTTATCATCCATTCATCTCTATGGTGATTAGCAGCGTTTTCATAATGCAATGATAAAAGTTTGAGGTTAGCGAACTGAGAATTTTACTATATGTTTTTTCTGTTCCCTTTTGCGGACGATTTAGATAACTAAAAACGGCTGCTTTCTGGACAGTTTGATGAAAAAAAATAATTACCCTGGATAGCAGAGGTAAAGTAAATCCTAGTACTATTTGTGGTCATTTGGCATTTTTCAGTGATTGATTATTCAGTAAACTGAAGCCTACTGACATTAATATAAGACAAGTGTACCTGTTGCTTGAATTCGAGCAATTGGTAAGTATTACAGGCGTTATTTTAAAACGAATAACAGTCATAATTTCTGATTACTTTAAAAGAGTCGCCTCAAAGATTATGGAAATACTCACGATGTACATAACAGTTCGATATAATCAACATTTCTTGTAAATATCTTATCACTTTTCATAAGCTGATGATCATGTTTTTAAGTGTCTTCTACAAATGTTTCCCACTCATAGCCGTATTAGGTTGTCCATAATAATGATTATTAGTTAAAAAAAAAAACACATTATTTTTATTTCTTCTACTTGGTGGTGTTCTATGACTTTCCCATGTTTCCATAGTTTGCAAATTGGCTCTTTAAATGATTGATCAAGAAATGCAGCACAGTGTTGGTTCAGTTTTATTTTTACTATTCCATTGTAATATTTACGCCAACCATAATTCAAATAGTAGGCAATATTTCTTTGTCGTCAAGTCCTTGGAATGTTTAAATGAAAATAAAATGTAAAACTTTTCTCTCGTCGTGTCCTATAGGTAACATTTCTTTGCCGGGTTCTAATTAGTTAAAAGAACATGAAAACTGCTTACATTTCAATTCCAAACAAAACAGCTGGGATTTATTTTTTATACAAAACTAATGTATTGACATCTGTTTCAGAATGTAATAACATTCAAATCAATCACAATGTTATCCTTATGGAAGGAACTTTGAGGGCAACCCACGCCCTTAAAAAGATATATTTCAAAAATCTAAAGCCAGTTTGCACATCTACACACCTAGACGAACATTTTGGTATATAATATGTGGGGTTAAATCTTAAAACAAAAAAGCCTTATTGTTCACAAAGTTTCACGTCGCGTATTAAATATATAGATAGGCCTACATCTTGAATATAAAATTCTTGCAATTTGTGCATGTAGGCCTATATAAAAAAAACTATTGTTTGTTAAAAACTTCTATTTTCTTTCAGATCTTTTTTGTGTGACAATGTTTCAAAATGGAAATACCAAGAACTGGAGTGGGATTCTAGTATCCCAATCCCAATGAAGAAGAACGACCTGAGACATGGAGAGGGCCAACTCCGGTGAAAGGCAATAGGACTGTTTCAAGTATAACAGAGGTATTACTCAGCCTTGAACAGGGATATAATAACTCAAACTCCTGCTCATAAGGGACAACCTTTGGAATTTACCCAGTGTGTTCTCTTGCAGCATTTGAAGTTTGAAGATCCATAAAATGACTCACTCAGTTAATTCGCTTAAATGTGGTACTTGTAGTAAAGTTTTTACCCGTAAAGATAACCTGAAACGCCACGAAAAATATAGACATAATTTCCAGGAGCATATAAAGACACTTAAATGTGCTATTTGTAATAAAGTTTTTTCTCGTAAGGATACACTGAAATGCCACGAAGCGGAGCATAGGGTGGAGAACAACAGTTCTGAACAATATGAGTGTGGTGCTTGTGGTAAATTTTTTTCTTGTAAATATAACCTGATATGCCATGAAGAACAGACACATAATAAAGTTCAGGATCATTTAAATACGCTTAAATGTGCTATTTGTGGTAAAGAGTTTTCTTGTAGTGATAACCTGAAACTCCACAATGAGTGGCATAAGGAACATAGGGGAGAGAAGAAGCGATCTGGACGATACGAGTGTGGCACTTGTGGTAAAGATTTTTCTCAAAAGAGTAAACTGAAACGCCACCAAGCGGTGCATTGCGTTGAGAAAAACAGTTCTGAACAATATGAGTGTAGTACTTGTGGGAAAGATTTTACTCGTAAAGATAACCTAAAACGCCACGAAGAGGTGGCACATACAGTCCAGGGGGACATATATGAATGTGCAGAATGCTGTAAATCATTTACACGTAAGGAGAGCTTGATTAGGCACATTAGTCAAAACCATTTGGGTTCTAAACCTCGTCACAAGTGTCCTAAATGTAAAAAACGTTTTCATCGTCTTTCTCGTATGAAAAAACATGCAAAAATGGTATGCTTCACCATACTATAAAACCTTACAAATAATAGTGTTCTACCATAACAATGGTTTTAAGTTGTTAGATTAGATCATTTGACTTGAGTAATTCAATTCTCTTTTTAATTAACTAAATATATAGGATGGAGAGAAGAGGACACAGCTAACTCACCTGATGAAAGGTTGCAGACGAGTCAAAGATCACATAAAACACACACATAATAATACTCGATATTTTGCCTCTTTCAGAGGCTTCTTCAGAAGTAGGCCGAGATGGCAGTTACAAGTGAACAACAGTTTAAAATAGGTGCATTGCGTCTCATTTGCGTTCTCACAGTGGAGTTGATGAGTTTAAAACATGATATGATGATGAGACAGTTTAAAATTGGCCATCCTATTTTAAACTGTTGTTCTTGTAACTGCCATCTAGGCCTACTTGCGAAGAAAGCTCTGAAAGAGGCGAAATATCAAGTATTATGTGTGTGTTTTATGTGTTCTTTGACTCGTCTGCAACCTTTCATCAGGTGAGTTAGCTGTGTCCTCTCCATCCTATATATTTATTTAATCCAAGCTAAATGCTTTTTCCTAAAAACATAACTTTTTTAATTAACTGTGATTTATTGGGTAATGAAAAGCTGCAATTCATTACGACTTTAGATTTACATTTATAGTTAATTTAAATAGACACAAGGAAATATGTAAATCATCTTAACTTGATTGCACATGGGCCGCATACTTGCAATCATGATCCTGCAGCACATGCGCATGTCATGTCTGCTTCCCATCCCAACCAGCCTGTGATCAGGTACAGTCGGGGGACGGTGATATTTCTTGCATTTGGAGAAATATTTTTCTCAGCTTGCATTGTACAATCGATTGTATGCTAGCGCAATATGTCTTTTCAGCCAGACCTTTATTCTGACGTATGTCTAGGTTTTTTGTTCTATAGTAGTTTAATGTTTGCACTTATTAGTAAACCGTAGCATTAAGAATGATTTATGAGGCAAGAATACCTTAAGATAATTATGTAGGATTCTAAACTTGAAAAACCAGTTACACACATACAGTGGCATAAAACACACCCACGCAACTCCCACAGTGTGGGGGTGGGCGACAAGGTCAAGGAGGCGCTGAGGTCCAGTTGCCCATCTCAATTTCGAAAAAAGGTGACATTGTTTATGTGACCGCGGAAGAGAAAGATAGTGTCTTCAAGACTGAAGAATAGATTCATGAGTTTGCCGCAATCGTAGAAAAAGATTATGTTGTTTCCGTGACCGTGAGAGACAAAGATGATGAAGACTGCAAGACCGAAGAACATATTCATGATTTTTTTGCAACTGCGGAAAACAATGACGAGTTTTAATCACTGTGAGAGAAGATTTCTACATGAACGCAGGAGATATTCAAGATATGGCTGCGGTAACAGAAAACGATGACAATGGTTCCATGACCAATGGAGGCGATGATAAAATATCCACAAAAGTTGTTGGATTTTGCCATGATCACATAGGCTGAGATAAACAAATAAAACATAAGTGATGTTTAAGTAGGGGGGGAGGGAACCCTCCACATGTACTGCTTGGGGGAGGGGGGTGCCACTTATTGTACTTACATCACTGAACAAATACTATTAATTATACAGGCAAATCTCAATTACACTTATTGCTTATTTTAAAGAAAAACCCTTGTGTATTTGCAATAAACCGTGTGGCTGGCAGAGTAAAAACTAATAACTTTATCGTAATGTAAACCTCTAATATTGAGCATAAAAAGATAAACTAACTAAGGAAAAAGTAAACATAAAGCTAAATACCCCCGCCGCAGCAAACCTGCAGGCTAAGTGAATTTCAACTTGTCTGAGCGAATTTGAACTTGTCTGATTATATTTTTACTAAAATATTTCCATAAATAAGACATATTTATTCCCAATTTAAATAATATTAGATTTAATGAGTGCTTAGGTTTGCTGCTACGGGAAAGGTAAAAAGTGTTTTTTGACCGTACGTCAATAGTAGGCCTATAGGATGAAATAAATAAATTTGCCAAATTTTATCAATATCCATAAACAATTAAACTACAACAGTTTTCATTTTCTCCATAACAATAACATAGGAATTTTTAATTACACTATTTTTAAATTTTTTTCCGTGACCGTTAGCATTGACTATATATACCTACAGAAGACATCCCATAGCTATAGTGGACCTGTCGCCAGCAATTTGTTGGCTAGGAGCGCTAGAACAGCGCTAGCTTGTGGTGCGATCTATCTGTAAAGGTTAGAAACAGTCTCGACGCATGCGCAGACGAGTAGATGAGTACTGAGCAGTCGACCGCTCAGCGCTCAGCTCATCCAGCTGACGATCAGACGATAGCTGTGAGGCCGTGAGGGGGCGGGAGAGTAGTGGAGAGAGTATACAATGCGTCGCTGTCACTACAACAATATCCAGAATGAAAGGTCAATGAGCTGAGCAAAAACTACTCTCGATCAGCTGTGGTGACACGTCACTCGCACTACACTATGTGAATGTCGTCTCACCGCGTGCCCTGGCCCTACTTTCGTTTCATAAAAATGAATTCGTGCGTTAGTAGTGTTTTATGGTTTGACTAGACCCAGGTTTCATACTCTTTACATTATGTTAAGACGCACACGATATTTTTAAACAACACTAAGCCTACTATTGGTATTGGTACAATTTTTTAATTGTTAAATTTGTATTCGAAGCTTACAATTGATTGAAGTTTGTGTAATTTGTTCTTATGTTACCAGCGACTAATTACTCCTTACTTAATTCAAGAAGTAATAAACCATGACTTTTTATAAGAAGTTTTTATCCTACCAACTATGTTAAATTTGTGTTGCTAGATATTTTACATGCATTTTCAGTAAAATGTAATGAATAAGCAATAAAGAGGATTTAAAACTTGAAGTATTAAATAATATGGGCCTATTTTGACTACTTACACATTATGAGTTATATAATGAACATTTGAATCGTCATCTAGAAAAGTTTGAAGACATAATTTTAAAACACGTAAAACATACAGAATAACGTAACAAGGATCACGCCTGATGCCGTCACCGCGTTGTGGTATAAGTCAAATAATTACAATAGTATAAACTTTATAGTTCGGACGACTTAAAAACAAAAAAACAAATATTCTTCATTTACACTAAGGAATTTATCTTCAAATTAAACGAATTTACATAACATTTGTTTTATGTAGCGTACTTGGCGTACAAGATGAAGAAATATAGGATTTTATAAATATAGGAAATATAGGATGCAGTTTCGGCCGTCGGCCATCTCCATAGTTTGATTGTTTACCCCATAGCTGTGGAGGGGTTGGAGGGGCGGGTGTCGCAATAACATGAGACGTCAGTTCCAGTTGTCTTTACGCCACCGAGTGACTGTGATTATTAAGTTGCGTTGTAAAAACGTTGTTCAATATTAGAAAATTTAGCTTTTGACATCTTATTAGTTTACTAGTTAACCGCCCGTGCTCCGCCACGGGAATATTGTCAGCAATAAAAGAAATAATAATTAGCAAATACTGTTTATCTTTGTATTTTATTTAGGGGTTGTTTAATTTGTAAATCGGTCCCGAGCCTAGGTCTTACCATGAGACCTACGGTAATAGCTACTTCCCTATAGGGAAATTTGCTAAAAACTATTGTTTGTTAAAAACTTCTATTTTCTTTCAGATCTTCTTTGTGTGACAATATTTATAAAGGAAATACCAAGAACTGGAGTGGGATTCTAGTATCCCAATGAAGAAGAACGACCTGAGACATGGAGAGGGTCAACTCTGGTGAAAGACAATAGGACTGTTTCAAGTATAACAGAGGTATCACTCAGCCCTGAACAGGGATATAATAAGTCAAACTCCTGCTCATAAGGGACAACCTTTGGAATTTACCCAGTGTGTTCTCTTGCAGCATTTGAAGTTTGAAGATCCATGAAATGACTCACTCAGTTAAGTCATTTAAATGTGGTACTTGTGGTAAAGTTTTTTCTCGTAAATATAACCTGATTCGCCACGAAGAACAGATACATAAATTTGAGGATCATTTAAATTTGCTTAAATGTGCTATTTGTGGTAAAGAGTTTTCTTGTAGTGATAGCCTGAAACTCCACAATGAGTGGCATAGGGAAGAGAACAACCGATCTGAACGATACGAGTGTGGTACTTGTGGTAAAGATTTTTCTCGTAAATATAACCTGATACGCCACAAAGAACACACACATCAATTCCAGGATCATTCGATGACGCTTAAATGTGCTATTTGCGGTAAAGAGTTTTCTTGTAGTGATAACCTGAAACGCCACGAAGAGTGGCATAGGGAAGAGAACAACAGCTCTGAACGATACGAGTGTGGCACTTGTGGTAAAGATTTTTCTCATAAGAGTACACTGAAACGCCACCAAGCAGTGCATTGTGTTGATAAAAACAGTTCTGAAAAATATGAGTGTGGTACTTGTGGGAAAAATTTTACTCGTAAAAATGATCTAAAACGCCATGAAGAGGTGGCACATACAGTCCAAGTGCAAAGATATGAATGTGCGGAATGCTGTAAATCATTTGCACATAAGAACACCTTGAGTAGACACATAAGTGTAATCCATTTGGGTTCTCATACAGTCCAAGTGCAAAGATATGAATGTGCGGAATGCTGTAAATCATTTGCACATAGGAACACCTTGAGTAGACACATAAGTGTAATCCATTTGGGTTCTAAACCTCGTCACAAGTGTCCTAAATGTAAAAAACGTTTTCATCGTCTTTCTAGTTTGAAACAACATGCAAAAATGGTATGCTTCACCTTACTATAAAACCATATAGATAATAGTGTTATACCATAAGGATATTTTTAAATTGCCGGATTAGATCATTTGTCTTGCTGAATTTAATTGCTTTTTTTAATTAACTGAGATTTATTGGGCAGTGAAACGCTGCAATTCATTACAACTTTAGATTTACATCTATAGTTAGTTTAAATAGACACAAGGAAATATGTTTGAATCATCTTAACTTAATACTTGGGCCGCATACTTGCAATCATGATCCTGCAGCACATGCGCATGTCATGTCTGCTTCCTATCCCAACCAACCTGTGATCAGGTACAGTCGGGGGACGGTGATATTTCTTGCATTTGGAGAAATTTTTTCTCAGCTTGCATTGTACAATCTATTGTATGCTAGCGCGATATGTCTTTTCAGCCAGACCTTTATTCTGACGTATGTCTAGGGGGCAACAAACGTGTTTTTTTATTCTATTGTAGTTCGTTTTAAGTTAGTAATGTTTGCATTTATTAGTAAACCGTAGCATTAAGAATGATTTATGAGGCAAGAATACTTTAAGAGAATTATGTAGGATTCTAAATCTACTTGAAAAACCAGTTACACACATACAGTGGCGTAAAACACACCCATGCATCTCCCGCAGTTTGGGGGTGGGCGACAAGGTCCAGGAGGTGCTGAGGCCCAAGTGTCACCGTTCACCGCAATCACAAAAAAAGGTGACGTTAGTTTCTGTGACCGCGGGAGACAAAGATGATGTCTTCAAGACCAAAGATAATATTCATGATTTTGCCGTGATCACGGAAAAAGATGACATTTCCGTGACCGCGGGAGACTAAGATGATGTCTACGCAAGACCGAAGAAGGTATTCATGATTTTGACGCAGAAGACAAAGATATTTATGATTATGCCGTAATCGCGGAAAAAGTTTACGTCGTTTCTGTGACCGCAGGAGACAAATAAGATAATAATAATATCTATGGTTCTTACCGTCAACGCAATCAGGGGTAATATTCCACTACGGCCGTTTCGGAGATGACTCCATCGTCAGGTGCGTAGTGGTACACTAAACTATAGTCTTGTCACATTTAACACGAACCACGGAACGGCCGTAGTGGAATATTACCCCTAATTGCGTTGATGGTAAGAACCATAGATATTATTATTATATTTTCACGCAATCTGCCACACTCAAGAATACAAATAAGATGTCCTCAAGACCAAAGAAGATATTCATGATTTTTACGCAATCACAGAAAAAAGTTGACCTCAATTCCGTGATTGCCGGAGAGAAAGATGATGAATAAATTCACATGTTTGCCGCAATCGTGCAAAAAGATTATGTGATTTCCGTGACCCCGAGAGACGAAGATTATGAAGACTACAAGACCAAAGAACATATTAATTATTTTTCCGCAGCTGCGGAAAACGATGAGGAGTTTTAATCACCGCTGGAGACGATTATTTCATGAACGCAGTAGATATTCAAGATTTGGCCGCAATCACGTAAAACTATGACAATGGTTCCATGACTATGAAGGCGATGAAAAATTTACACAAGAGTTGTTGGATTTTACCATGATCACTGCTAAGGCTGAGATAAACGGAAATGTTTAAGTAGGTGGCGGGGGGGGGGGGGGGTGCCATCCATTTACTGCATGGGGGGGGGGGCAGCCGCTCATTGTGCAAACGTCACTGGCAAATCTCAATCACGCTTATTGTTTATTTTCAAGAAAACCCCTTGTGTATTTGCACTAAACCGTGTGGCAGGCAGAGTCAAAACTAATAACTTTATTGTAATGTAAACCTCTAATAATGAGCATAAAAAGATAACTAACTGAGGAAAAAAGTCAACATAAAGTTAACAAGGATCACAAATAGTTGAGAAAATCGTAAGACCCACACCTATTAGAGTGAAAATTTAAAAACGTACGTTTTCAGGAAAAGCACTTTGCAAATTTTTTTCCCCTTTTTTCAAAACTTTTATTATTTTTTTTATTTCATTAATATTTGAAGTTTCATAAAATGTCCATGGTAACACAATATCTTTGGTAGTTTTTTTTTTAAAGAGCATCTTTAGTGGAAAAACACAAAATCCTGTCACGACCATAACGGACGTTTAAATGAATATTAAAAATGGTTAATATTATTTTTATAACTATGTTTTGCTATAAACTAATTTACTTTTATGACCATTATACAATAAAAAGGTCACTGAGCTTTTGGTATATTTGGTCTTTCTAGAAATAAATAAAAAACTGAAAAAAATTGAAAATAAGCCAATAAAATCTTTTTAAGTTTGTATAACTCCGAAAAAACGTACCTAAGACCCGAAAAATTGTTATGTTTGTATAGAGGTGTGCTTCTTTTGTGTATAAAACATTGAAATATGACGATATTTTAATTTTTGAAATTTTTATGATAGAAATCATAAACGTGATGGTCAGGGACAAGCGGTACGGTCGTGAATTGTCTGGAATGATCTAAATCTTTCTAAACAATCCTTCAATTATACTGTTAGTTATAATAAAAATATGTGTTTTAATTGAACTAAACTGTTAAATTTACAATTATATTAAAGTTATTGTCACGACCAAACACACTATAATCCATAAGGCTGGATTGGTCGTGAAAAAACCCGCGATGGTCGTGAAACTTTGGTCGTGAAATTACGTGTTATTTGGCTCTGTTCTGGCGGTAGCCCTGCCCCTCATGTTCGAGGATACAAAGTGGACTTCTAGGTTAATCTAGCAATTGAAATATCTAATAAACAAAAATTAACACCATGTCTACTTCATCGAATGACTACGTACGGTCATGGACACACCAAAATTACAAAAAACACAATCTTTCCTTTATTAATCTTGTAATTCCTCTTTTCAACTAGAAACGACCGGCACTACAATCCTGACGTACACCCCGAACTAGTCTCTAAAACCAACTGACTCCATCGACGCCAGGCTTGCCACTGTCGTGCTCCAAAGTTGAAAATTTTTCCCAAATGGTCGTGACGCCAAATCGAGGGACAGACTTATTTTGTCATGGTAGTCAGTTTGCAATGACGATAAAATTATAATATGCTCCTTTTATGTCAATTTAATAACCATTGATGACATAAAAATATGGCTTTATACATTTTGGCATGAATAATTAGTCTAAAAACAGCGTGAAAGTTGGAAAATGTACCCTAGGGACACGTCATGGTCGTGAATTTCGAGACTTTAAAAATAGGAAAAAAATACCTAGAACCTATTTAAAACCAATTAAATGTGTGTAACATGTTGCTCCCGTCCCAATAAATGTTAAAACACATAATAATAAACTACAAATCCAGTATCTACGAAGTAAAATGCCAGGGACATGAAAACGTACGTTTTTAAATTTTCACTCATTAACCGCATACTTGAATGAAAGGTCTTGATGTACAAAACCTTCCCTTAATAGTATCAGTTTATCGATAAACCATCTCCTATGGGCAGGAACTGAGCAAAAGTTAGTAGCTTTTTGATTATTCGAAACAGGACCCTGATCATTGATTGGGCTTTAAATAAACTATCCCTGGCTAGTGAAACAACTGCACATCACACACAGATCAACTACACAATGCAACTACACAGATCATCTCACACCATTCTACACTCATCCTTTGTCATATTTGGTTAAAATAGGCACCATTGGCGTCCCCATCTCAATTGATGTTGAGGGTCTAATCACATTTAAAATATTATTGAAAGATGCATCTGCTGCTACATTTGCTTTTATTTAAGTTTGTTTTTCCCGATTTAATCTTTTGATTCTCATTATATGATGTTAAGATTACGATAAAGTAGTTAGTTTTGATTCTGTCATATAGTTTAACGAAAACTACGCAAGATATTTTAATTTAATTAAGCAATAAGCAGGAATGAGATTTGCCTGTATTTAATTCATGCAAGGGTGTGTTTTTTTAGAGTAGCTACTCTTATCAAAGAATTAGTTGTCGCACTATTTTCAAATCTCTAAAGCTTTAGAGACCCCAAAATTCAAGTATTCTTGCTCCGTTGCAAATTACAAGCAGAACAACTACAAGAATTAAACTAACGTAATGGCTGATGCATCTTCAGTATTTTAAATCTGACTAAATGTAACACTTCAATTGAGGTTCATGCTCTTAGGAAAGCATTTATTGAAAAACTGGTATTTTAAGGGGGTTCTCAACAAGACCTTTCATTCAAGTGAGCTGTTGATAGGTGTATGGCCTACGGTTTACTCAAAATATTTTAATCCTTATTACCTTTATATAGGCCTAGATAATTGTTTGTATATTAGGCAAATACAGGACATCAAATAGAGTGATTTGTTTGCGATTTTCACTAGTGTTTATGGGACATTTGCGTCCCTCATGGCAGACACTACCTCAGTGCTTACGGGTGACTGGTGTCCCTAATTTAATTTTATGTCTCTAATTTGACCGGTGTTCCCCTTAGTTTGATGATGTCACTTGCCCCACTTACTCGTATGTTTTATGTTTTTTTCTTAAGGAATATGTATTCTACTGACATTTAATGTAAATTCAATAGGCTAACAAAAAATAACAGGGCTACCTAATATATATATTTTTTTATTAGCAGTCATTGTGTTTATACTTTCCTTTGTTAATCCTTTCCTGCCCAAGCACAGGAATACCGGTTAGACCAATTTTTTGTGCGTTTAAGTTTTTTTTTTTTCCAAATGACACAAAAATAGCAATTTGTACTCAAACTTAAATCTTTCGGTAATAAAAAAAGTTTTATATGAGTCATATTTGACTCATTGGGCCTCTACAGAAATAACTGACCAGGGAGTGGCAAACATAGAAAATGAGGGCAAGCTCCTTGAAATTGGACGAATCTTAGATTAATATCTGTTCATTAATGATCTGCAAATTACAGATATATATATATATATATTTAAATTTACTGTCCTAAAAATATTTTGAACATAGGTGTTGTATTTGTTTTTTTTTTTATTGTATGCAAAAAGATCTCATCCAGCATAAAAGGGGCTTATTAAAAAAATGTAATAATCTAGTCAGTAGTTTTCCATTTCACAAACAAAACAGTGAATATTAATAATGTATGGGTTTACATGTCTGAAGACTGAAACGTAAGACTTTTATAAATATATTTTTTTAAGTAAATTAAAATGTGAAGACGTTAGAATGTGAAGACGTTAGCATATGCTTTGCTGTTTGTATAGACGTTTTGAAATATAATTGTTACATTAGTACATTAATAACTGTTACAGTGTTAAGTCTGTCCACATATTTTTAGTAAGTTTTTTATGTCAAATGATTACTGTAGTGTGTTTTGGGAAATTGAGAAGGTATTTTTAAAGCTGTTTATATTTGTAATATAATCAACAACTATTTGCAATATGAAAATTTTCTGTAATATATTTTTGTAGTATTATTTACCATGAAAAAATGAAAATGTTTGGTAATAAAAGATTTATTTGAAACAACTTGGCTGGACTTCAAGTTTAAGGTATCTACTCCAATCCAAAGCACAAGTAAAGCCACTAAAACTCCATTTAATATGTCCTAAGAAATATTTTTTGTTAAAATGCAGGGTGCCCACATTCTGGAAAGTCAGGGATTGTCATGGAAAGTCATAAAAAACATTCTGGTCATGGAAATCCCCAATGATGGATGGATTTGAGGGGACCTTTCAATGCTCTAGTCGGACTATTGTGTAGCATTTTCAGGATTTTTCACAAATGTTTGAAAATTAAATTTATTATTACTGTATTAGTTGTATTGTATTAGTTTATGAGTTTTGGGTTTGTATTAGTTGAATGTTGTACTTACTGTATTGTACTCCATTGTTATCTTTTCATAATTATTTCAGTATTTTCTGCTAAATAACTTGTCTGGACAGTATTATTCGTGTGTGTATGTTAACATTATAATTTTTGAGTAAAGTTCGTGAGTCGTGGAAAACTATGGTAAATGGTCATGGATAGTCATGTAACATCATGTAAATGAATGACAAATTTTCTGTGGACACCCTGAAATGTCTTTGTTAAAGATTAAAGTCTTAATACAAGGCTTATTACAATTAATTAACCTGTGGATTCAGAACTTTTGTATGGTACTGTAGTATATTTTTGTATCATATAATGTTGTATTAAAAACATGTTTGTAATCAAACCCTTGTTTTTGCTATTGTTTTCCTTTTTTCCAAGTGTAAATGTTGCATTTTCACTTAATAAGAATCCTAAAGTTGATAATTTTCAATTGAAAAAAAAAATTTACTACATTTCTGTTTGTCCTATTTAAAAATGACTACTAGATAAATAGTTTTATTTATTTCATAAATGTGGATTTTTATTGTTGTCAGTTGTTCTAAAACAATTGTTTTTCAATAACAACAGCTGTTTTCAAAACTAGCATAACCTCTTTTTGTTTTTTTCCATAGGAGGGAGTAAAAATCAGCTGTGCATTTTGCTCTGTTATGCACTTTGATTGTAAGCAATCGGATGTATCAATAGTTGTTTGTGTAACTAGTGTGCACCCACTAGTGTGTTCCCACTGATTAAGTGTAGAAACATACAGACAGCGTAGCGTAGCGCAATGTAGCGCAGCGCAGCGTTGTCCAATACACACAGAGAGCGCAGCGTAGCGTAGCGCAACATAGGTTGTAGACAGTCTTAATAGGATACATCAGTATAGAAGATGGTATTGACTCTCAAGAGTGTCTGCAGTCGAATGCGCTCCAATACGTTCTGAGAAAAACAAAATTGTTTGTTCCTTGGTCGTACGCTACACTGTCTGCATGTTTTTACACTAATAGACTTGACAATCACCGATCCAACCACTGAGCTATAATTCTAACTGGAGGTAGCACTGAATGTCAAAGATGCGTGTCGCCAGCCGCCATGTTTGCGTGAGGTGTGAGTTATAAGAAGCCATATTATTGCTATGGCTATTATTATACTTGGCTTAAAATACCTACTTTGTATGGTCGCCATTTCAAAGAAAATTATTAAAGTATTAAAAGTATTCAAGTATGACAAAAATACTCACTGCTATACCAACCTAGTTATAAGAAGCCATGTTATTGCTATGGTAAGAAAACTTACTGCTATACCAACCTAACAAAATCAGCGACTCGCTTTTGACAGACTTCTGCCATGGCAGTGCTACCTCCAGTTATAATTTTAGCTCAGTGGATCCAACCCTTTTAAGAGAGGTTATGTTTTTATTTATTGATTTATTATTGGTGTCCAGTTTTCATTGCAGTAGAGTAGTACGTATGACACCCTATTTGATCAAGCAACTACAACATAAGACTACAAACACAAAATAATAAAGATTTAGTCTGAAAAGGGCATTTTATCAGTTGAGTATTTTGATTAAATAGTTCATATCACAAATGTTGAAAAATAATATTTCTTCCCCAGATGGGTCTTGAACCTGAAACCTTCAACTTATTAACCTCTCTTACCTCACCCCTGAGCTATCTGTGATTGATGATATTTCCTTTTTTCAAGTGGTCAAAGAGAAGCCAACAGCTGCAATGGTCGTAAAACTTAAAAAATAAATAAATAACATATTTTTATATGATTCTGTTTAGGCATCAAATGTTGAATTGATTTTCCGTGAGTTGGACTTAATTGGAGAGGATACTTGTATTTGAATATAGATTAATTAATTACCATTAGTAATGATATTATAATTATTGTTATATGATTAATCTTAAATCCCTTAAATTTTTTTACTATTAAGAGTTTGCTCAAATAAGTAAAAGAGTTGTAATTTGATAAAATATATAACAATACAAACTATATACAAGCATATGACCACATTATTCTCACAGATATCATTCAGCTGAAATATTTATTTTTACTTTAAATATTGGATACCTATATTGTTGGGTATGATGGGAATAAGATTTAAATCCCTTTCATTTCATAAGAACTTGATGGTCATAAGTTCTTTATTCCAGAATTACAAAATTACATTGCATTGGAATAGTCAAGTTTATAATGAAATGTACAAAAGATAAAATATTAAAAAAAACTACTAACTAAAACAATTTGACCTTCTAGTAATCTAACAGGACAGAAATCACTGACTACACATGACAGTGGAAAAATCACGGACTCTGTAGCAAGCATTTTCAACCAAAATTTGTTTAAGTTTTCTCCTAAACCTGAGCAAATCAGTCTCCAGCTTTAGATGTTGAGGAAGTTGGTTAAAAAGTTTAATTCCATTGTACAGAAGATGATTTTGGAAAAATGAAGTTGAATGGACGGGTATGTTTAAGTTGTAAGTTGTGCGCATGCGCATGTGCGTAAGTTGTATGTACCTACTGGAGTTAATGTTGGTGCTAGATAATGACTGATGTTTTTTTTACAAATGAAAGGGTCTCAAGGATGTATAGTGAGGGAAGAGTCAAAATTGCAGCTGACCTGAATGATTCCTTACAAGATCATCTTCTGAAAAGAGAAAATATAACACGAATAGCCTTTTTTGCATTTTAAAAAGAAAGGAGGTATGATTATTTTCATATCCCCAAACGGGCAGAGCATAAACTAGATATGGAAATATTAAGCCGTAATAAACAGAAAGAAGAACTTCTGACGAGACTGTTGTGGCCAATGTCCGTAGTACAAAAACACGTTTTATCACGTAATCAACATGAGATTTGAAGTTTAAACATTCGTCTAAGTGGATGCCTAAGAATTTAACAGACTGTACAGGATGAATGAAGGTTTGATCAAGAAGAAGTGACAGATTCAGATCTTTGTGGGATCTGTTTGAGACTCGAAAGTTAATCAGCTGGGTCTTTGCAGTGTTGGTTTTCAGAAGGTTGTCATCAAACCACTGAAGCAAGGTATTTGCCTCTATGAATGCCATTTGCTCGAGTGACTAGGGAGGGGCTGGATAAGGCTAGGAAAGTGTCATCTGCAAAAAGGCACAGTTTACCTTGGGTTATGCATGACGGGAGGTCATTTATGAAGAGGAGGAATAGCACAGGGCCAAGAACGGATCCCTGAGGCACGCCTCTCGTTACAGGAGTTTCTGAAGACTTAAATCTACTTTGTAGCCCGGTGTGATCTATGGATTGTATTTCAACACATTGCCTCCTGCCTTTTAAAAATGACGAAAACCACTCTGATGCAACTCCTCGGACTCCTTTGTTGTTTAATTTAGCTAGTAGGAGGTCATGGTCAACCATGTCAAACGCCTTACTAAAATCAAAGGAAATACTCATTGAGCGTTGCTTTGCATCCAAATCTTGCACCACTTGGTTCAATAAGGAAAACATTGCACTTGTAGTATTTTTGCTTTTGACAAATCCATGTTGATCTTTGAATATTATATTATTATTTTCGGATAATGCCCAGAGCCTCTCTAAAACAGCCTTTTCATATATCTTGGACAAACTTGAAAGCATAGAAATGGGCCTATATTTATCATACTTCGTATGGTCACCCCTTTTGAGAATTGGCCTAACAACTGCAAGTTTGAGTGCATTGGGAAATTGTCCATGCAGAAAAGAGTGGTTTATGAGATGGGTAAGAGGATTAACGATGAAGTCTGAACACTCTTAAAATCGTTGACGGTATTTCGTCAGCTCCTGAGCTTATCTTGTTTTTTAACTGATGAATTATTTGTTTTACTTCGGAATCTACTGTTAGGAATAAGAACAATGATTTATGGTTAATGTTTTGACTAAAAGCTTTAGTATTTGCAGCTCTGTAATTGGTCTGTTTTGTTACGTCTGAAAAAAATTTATTAAATGTTAAATTATGTTTCTTAAGCACTTTTCACTTGGAAAAACAACTTACATCCATTATTATAAAATATATGTTTTAATGTAGCATCCTGAGATGAGAATATCCATAGGAAGTCCCAAAAAAACCCCAAAGGCCCAAAATGCATTTGTTTTTATGTACCATGGGAACAGGTCAGCATATCCATATCCTGTGCTGTATGGGCTGGCCTTCTTGGTCTTCACTATGTTGTCCCCGTCCCCCAATCCCTTTTAGTTTACCCTGCACAAGAAAAGGAAATGAGATTCATAATCCTCCCAGTTCAATTTTTAATCATAAGACTCTATATTGAAAACTTGGTCTTTACCTCTTTTTGGGTTAGTTTTTTATTTTCTCCACCAGTAAAATAAAACCTAAACTAAATTGAACTAATCTCTGTTTTCAAGTGATTTTAGAAGAGTAGGACAACACCCAATAAACCTTTACTTAGTTTAAAATTTTCATTGAAGGAAACTAAAAAAAAAAAAAAAAAAAACACTCTGAGGCTTAGTCTTGCAGGTTTGCTGCCACATGGGTATTACGGTATTTTAAGTACCGTACTGATTGTAACAATCATCAAAATGAACGATAAAAATTTGATAAAATATTGTGTAATATAAAAAATTTGAATGTAATATCACTGTAAATAAAGTGACGGAAGACTGCAAAGTATGTTTTATTAACTGGTTTTATGTATGCTGCAACCAAATGAAATGACTGACAGTTTGACTGAGAAATTACGAACTTAAACTAGACTGAACCACTGAACGGAGGAACTGTGACTGGATTGTTTACGTTTCGTTTTGTAACTGGAACCAGTGGAACCGGGACTGTGACAAGCGCTAAGCGGTGGGGCACACGGGAGGGACTAAGGCTATCATATCTTGTAGTGTCAGCGTTCGCCGCTAGAACTGCTATGTTGAAACATTTTAAATTATTTTTTTTTTATTTTTAGTTATAAAATTAACTTTTTATTTATAAAATATTGTTTTAAAATTATAAAATTAATTTTTAAAATTAAACCGTCATAACATAACCTAACCAACCAGACTTGCTGACAATATAAAAACTATATAAGATAAAAATCTAATTAATAATTACTTATAATTTTTAATTAATTATAAAATTAATTTTTAAATTTAGTATTATAAAATTAAACTGTCATAACCTAACCTAACCAACCAAACTTGCTGATATGAAAAATTTGTTGACAAAAAATTAGTGCTGCCAGTGGGATTCGAACCCGGGACCTCCTGTACACAAATCCGAAACGCTACCAACTAGGTCACGAATGCTGCTGAAAAATCATCGTTTCGTTACGGTAATCGTGTCGCCTCATGAGAAGACAGAGATATGACGTCACTACACCTTTAGCCTTAGTCCCTCCCGTGTGCCCATTCCAAGCACCGAGCAGCATAACGGGCAGTTACAATAAAAGCTGGTGCAAATTGCGCATGCGCGGCATTCGGCATTTCTACAAAAATACGCTCATGTATGAGTTCTTGAGTTGAGTTGCCGCCAGCTGGGTGAGTTTTTTTCAGCTAAATTCAACAGTTAACAGAACAGTTCCAAGTTCCAAGTCCGAAGTCCAAGTTTCATCTTTTCTTCCCTTCTTCTAATGTTTGTTTATTGTTTTATTGTTTACCTTTTGTTCAAATTAAATCGTATAGACTGACTGAAGCCAACAATTTACTACTCACAAACAACGTTCGTAAGACCATGATGTAAGTTAAACATGAAAGAACAATATAAAATTAGCCTTAGTAGTAGGTATAAGTATAGAAGCTTAGGCAAGTTCAAGCATCTAGTCTAGGCCTACAATATGATTAATAATAACTAAGCCTAACTTAGTGCTTTACATGCCAGGATTTGGTCCGAGGCATAAATATTCTTAAGATTCTGAGGGGTAGATTTCCGTATATCTGTTGGCACAAAAAAAACCGAATGAAAATTTGATTATTCGATTGTTTCATTCGAATTTTTATCGTTTTTTGGTTAGTTTGTTTGGTAAGGTTAATGGTACCAAAGATTACATATGCTACGCAAAATAGCATATGTAATCTTTGATGGTACTTTCCTGTTGGAACATAAATTATTATCGATGATTTTTTTCTCGATAAGTAGGCCCTAACTTAAATCCATATTAACAAATTGGAACATATCAGCTGACAACTACGATAAATATTGTTCAGTAACTTATCAAAAAACAATAATGAAATGAAACTGTTCTAAAAAAAATAACCTAACATAGGCCTAGCCTAACTAACCAAACTTGCTGTGTAACATTTAAAAATTCAGTGTTTAACTTTCCTTTTCTGTTATCAAACGGAATTTTTAATTTTAAATGGTACAGCAAAATTGGTTGGTATGTTAGGTTAGCTTAGAACAGTTTCATTTCTTAAGTACCTAATCCATCTATATAATGCTATTTTAGCCTAAACAAGGTCAGTAGTTGTCAATTTGTAATGAATCGGAAAACAAAAATATCGATTATCAAAAAAATCATGGATAGCACCTAATGAATGTTCCATATAACAGGAAAGTGTTGGTGTGAACCTAGCAAAAGTAAAGCCAATAAGTAGCAATAAGAGTAGTGGAGTGCGCCTTACAAAATCTATTGCTGGCAGTTTGCAGAAAAATACAGCTGTGTAGCATATTACCGACAATGTCACCAGCTAGAGGACACTGGAGACGACACAGTATCATTATCATAACTTAGTATACCTACCTCTAGAGTAAGTTGGGAGGGGGGGGGGGTAAAGTCAGCACTAGGCCTACGTAGTGTGTGCGCCTTATAAAATCTATTGCTATAGGATAACTTATGTGGGAACTAGTTAGGATATCATGTGCTGTGTGGGCTATCCTTCTATGTTGTCTCCCAATCCCTTTAGTTTACCCTGCACACTTGGTTCCAACCAACATCATTAGACCTACCTCTTTTTGGGTTTGTTTTTTATTCACCGTCGCCAGTAAAATAATAGCCTATCAAAACTAAATTGAACTAATCTCTGTTTTAAAGTAGTTTTAGAAGAGTAGCTGAATACATCCAATAAACCTTTAATGCTTAAAACTTTCATTAAAGAATTCAGTTATATAAAAAAAAAAAAAAACACCCGAGGCTTAGTCTGCAGGTTTGCTACGGCCGGGGTATTACAGTATTTTAAGTACCATTTGTAAACAGGGGTGCCCAGAGGGGGGTACTGTGGCGCGTTTGCGCCACATGAATTTTTGGGGGGGACTATTTTTAAGGGATTTTGGGGGGGGGATATTTAATTTTTGCTAGCTGTCATAATGGCTGTATAATTTTGTACAAGCAGCCCGAAAAAGTGTTTCTCACTAAAAGTAGCTCACTATCAACACCAACATTTTGCCGTTCGTAATTAAGATTGCTTCTAAGAATGGTAAAGCACCTTGTCAGACAACCCTTAACATACCAGTGTAGAATTTTACATGCTACATATGTTTTGTTGGTTCTTTAACTCCACCATAGTCAGGATTTACAAAAAATCCCCTTTTGGAGGTGTCGTCAGTATACGTTACAAACATTTAACACAAAACACGAAACGATTACAGATAGGCTTATCAATTCACGCGCGTACATTGCCGTCGGCAAGACTGGAAGTAAACTGACTCGGGTTCAGGTTATGACGGACCGACGTGGTCTCTGAATTGTCGTCTGCGTTTTCAACAGCTGATATTGGACTATTGTTATAGTGACTGAGAAGAGTAATGAAAATATAATGGCTTTCATAATTTATTGAGTGTTTTCACTCAAAAATGTTGTGCTGTCCCCAATTTTATGTATTCATATATTTCAAACTCCTCAAAGTATTTAAAAATTTCCTTTCGTGCAGTACTATAGAATTTCGAGACCATCATTTATATCCAGCATATAAATTGGTTATTATTGTCAATAGTTTTGAATGGAAAACTCAATTATGAATCCCGTTATATTTTCAACATACTCCATCACTACAATTAGTCCAATATCAGCTTTTGATAAAGCAGACGACAATCCAGAGACCACGTCTTTCCGTCATAACCTGATTCAGTTTACTTCCAGTCCTTCCCGCGGCAATATACACGTGTGGATTGATAGGCCTATCTGTTATAGTTTCGTGTTTTGTGTACAAACGGATTGTCTGACAAAATACGTTCCTACCATTTTAGTCATAAAAGGCAATCCTGGGGCTATCAAAATGAATTATAAGATTACTTCGTCACAAAAACCTTTTGTTCTGGTGGCATGGTATTTTGCCCGGCGATTTTTGTAGAAGGCAGCCTGGAAGTGGCGAGCATCAAGTCTGACTTATTTTGTGACTCTGCCAACAAAAGACTTTGAAACAATTAAGATACTTTTTGCCAAAGTATTATTAATACACTTAAAGCTGTTTGAATTCTTAATACCCTCTAAACATTAAATCCACCTAATATATTGTACAGTTACAGTACTGTGTTGGAGTAGAGTAATTCACCGAGTATAGGCCTATTGTTAAACGTGTTGAAGACGTTGTCTATAGCAATACTGAGCACATGTTGGCTGACAATACAAATTCGGAATTTTGTAAATTGAAAAACTTCTAATTCAACCATTACTTAGATATGTATTGTTAAATGACGTTTCCTATTAAACATTTAATTTTGATTCTCAATCAGCAAGTTTGTTTTTTGTACCTCAAGTTTACTAAATACTTTAAATACTCGTTTTATGAGGTAAAGGGAAATTGTCAGATAAATTGATGGGGGGAGGATAGGTTTAAATAGACGACAACATAAATTGGGGGACTACTCCTTTGGCTTGGGGGGGGGATTGCGCCTCTGGGTTTAGGGGGGATGGGCACCTCTGTTTGTAAACAATCATGAAAATGGATGATGATAACTGGAACCAGTGGGACCAGGACTGTGGCAAGCAGCATTTCCGGACGAAACAGTTACAACAAAAGCTGGTGCAAAATGTTCATGGGCAGCATAAAAAAAACGCTCATTTCGAGTTGACTCGCCAGGTGCGTTTCTATTTTCAGCTAGCCTAAGTCATTGACTATAATAACATATATATATATATATATCAATCAAATCAAATCAAAGCTTTAGATTAAGGAACCTAGATATAAATTAGATATAAATTGACCATATACCAGCTTGGGAATTACTTTTGTAATTATTGTATCAGGCGTTATGTACAATAAAGCTTTGTCTTTTGTCTATTGTCTTGTCTATTGTCTTTATTCATCATTAAATAACATGAGTTAGCCTACAATAGATTTTGTCAAAATTTATAATATTATACCTTAAAGAAGACACCTCAAAACATGACTAGGCCTACAGCATGAAAGACAATTGGTTTAAAGGTTTCCATACCTATAATATCATCATATAACCTTATTTAATAATATATATATATATATATATAACTGTGTAATACACCCTACCGGCTTTATGAACAACATTGAAAAGTTTAGATCATATTATAGGTTTGAGGGTTACGTTAACAGCCCAGTTTACGATAGTGCACATGCATTTATTTAGGGGTGCAGGCTACGTGTAGCTAGCCGAAGCTACGGTGCTTGCGTGAATCATGTATAATTACGTCAGTGTAAACACCCTCATTTAAATAACATTAAGAGCTACATCAGCGACGTATTCCGAAAACGTAGCAAGATGCCTGGCTACGACGGTGTGAACAGTGTCCTTTAAGGAGGGCTGCTAGTGACTATTTGCCATAAAAGTTGGACATGTCTGACTTTCTGTGTGATTTAATTTTTACTCCCTGGCAATTGCTAGTTGCCGCTACTTTCCGTTTGCACATAGCAATTAGTAGACTTGACTCTAGTCGCAGCAAGTAAAAGAGCCATGTGTGAGCTAGCCGTAAGTGAATCTAATGCGGCAGATACAGGGTTAACACATTAAATACCACTGGACAAATTATTTCACACTTCATCTTAGGGACAAAAATATAAGTTTAACGAGATTTCTTCATTGCCAGCAAATAAATAAACTTTAAAGGAAGTTCTCTAAAACAATAGAAAGTAGCCTACCTGTAAAATTATCTTGTTCACAATACAGTTTAACTTAATGTTTCAGTTATAATCAGAGACTGTGGCAGAGAAATTGATGATTGCATCCGAATGCCAGATCTTGTCACTACTTGGATTTATAAAAGGTAAATTATTTTATACTTACATTTTGATACTTGAGCTAGGTGTCATTTTAAAGCTTAATTGATCTCATAGTGAAACTAGGCTACAAACAAACTCACAACATACAGTACTATGACATCAACCATAATTAATTGTTATACAAATAAGACAGGCAAGGTCAGTATGCAAGTCGGACATTGCAAAATTAACCCATCAGAAAACATTTTCCAAAACTTTTTTAGAAGAGGGCCACCAATATTTAAAGTTTCCCTGCATGGTTAGGTTTTGATTCAAAAAATCAAATATCACCAGCTGCAAAAAACCTGCAGACTAAACAAATTTTCATTTGCCTGATTTGATTTTCAATGAAATTTCAACAACATTAGGTTTAATGAGTACCTAGGTTTGCTGCTACAGGGAGGGTAATAAAGAATGTATCTTTAACCCCATTTTTATTGTCGGGTCAGGTAAAATCTTGTACGTTACACGTTGCGCAAGAGCGTGTTTACATCTCTTAGGTAAATTATGCAACTCCCTTCCGCTCGTTGCACAACATTCACCTGCGTGATGTAAAAACGCTCTTACTACACTTGTAATGTAAACAGCTATTAAACCATGCTTAAACTAGTACAGTAGAACCTCGGTTAACCGAGGTAATTGGGACCGAGGGTACCTCGGATACGGCGAACCTCGGATAACACGGAACGTAACCTAAAAATCGTTACCGGGGCTAAAAATAGCTCAAGATATACTAAAACATGAACAAAAGTTATTAACTGAACTGTTGTTTAGTTTATTAGTACAAGAAATGTTATTAGTACGCAATAAAACGTGAGAGGAAACGGTAACACTCACAATACTAAACACTGTTTTAATATACACTCAATTTATTGCACAACTGAATACGTATGATATAGGCTACACAATGTACAGAAGTTTAGTTACAGTACAGTATTCCTGTTTACAAAATTAAATCAAAGAAATGAAAATTAATTTACTGTACTTTGTACAAAAATAAACAAAGTAAGCTAATCTTTTTTCCCAAAGAAATCAGTTATTGTTTTTTGACTTAGATTAGAGGATCTTAGGCTAGCCGCCCTGTTGCGCCAGCGTCGCAGCCAAACTAAATCGTTTGTTGTTGCGGTTTCTTGTTGTTCAATGTATGCCAGTCACTGAGCTAAAATTATAACTGGAGGTAGCACTGCCATTGCAGAAGTCTGTCAAAAGCGTGTCGCTGATTTTGTTAGGTTGGTATAGCAGCAGGTTTTTTCATCCATTAACATGGCTTCTATAACTAGGTTTGCATAGCAGTGAGTTTTTTCATCCAATAACATGGCTTCATTTTAACTCACACCTCACGCAAACATGGCGGCTGGCGACACGCATCTTTGACATTCAGTGCTACCTCCAGTTAGAATTATAGCTCAGTGATGCCAGTGCTCCCTCGATCATTCTTAGACCTTCTGTATGTGACATTTTCTCAGTCGCCCCATCAGATTCATCGCTGTAAAAAAAACTTTTGTCGAATCGGGGTGGTGGGGAGAGCGAGTGGCTCAGTCGCGTCTCGGCATTGAAACAGTTCGCATTGGTCCGGCGGCGAGCGGTGTCGGGTTACAACACCTGCAGCTGCTCTGGCGAGCGGTGTCGGGTGACAGTGCCGTATGCATTCGGCAAAGATAAGCGCTAAGCTACGCAAATATTTGGCCGAGGAAACACAACAGTTGCCAACATTTTACTGTACAGTAGTTTTAACGCATTGCAGGCTAGCGTGCGTATTGCGATAAAAGGAGCACCCAAACGCTCATTACTGTACGTAGTTTGTGCGTGTTTCTTTTGCTTTTTAAATAAAAAAAATCGTTCGAGGACGGCCTCGGTTAACCCGGAGTCTCGGTTAAGCGAGGCTCGGTTAACCGAGGTTCTACTGTAATATCAAATTATCTGATCAAAAGATATAGGGCATTTGCCAGGAATTATTAAGGAAATTTACAGGAAAGCAGGCTTACCTTTAAATAAGTCCATAGAGACACATATATAAACAATACAAAAGTAGACATTTTTGTGGTAACCTTTACAACCACTAGAGATAGTAGTTTTCATCACCAGGAGCAAAAGTTGCTTTTTTGGTACGCTATCGCGTTTTACAAGCAAGGTGCAGCCAAGCTTGGAAATGATAAGTGTCAAAAACTCTTTTGCTCCGTGTGATACAACTATTTTCATGTTTTTGTGGAAATAACCTTATAGATTGACCACAAAAATAGACCACATAATTTGAGGATATACTAAGACGTCATCATTGTTTACATTTCTGTTGTTTACAAACATAACTTTAAATATATTTATAATCTATCCATCTCAATAGTGATTAGCAGCGTTTTCATAATGCACTGATAAAAGTTTAAGGTTAGCAAACTGAGAAATTTATCATATGTTTTTTCCGTTTCCTTTTGCTGACGATTTAGATAACTAAAAACGGCTGCTTTCCGGACAGTTTGATGAAAAAAATTTAATTACCCTTGATAGCAGAGTTAATAGTATATTACGTTACTAGTCCTGAAAATAAATGTTTACCGGACGAGTGTGGTCGTTCCCGTGCGAGACGAAGTCGAGTACGGGATTACCATACGAGTCCGGTACACACATTTTGGACGAGTTACGTACGATAGTTTACGCCATACTACTTAATTCGTCCAGATCCTTATATATTTCCACCATCTAAAGGACTACACATCACCAGTCATAACCTCCAAGAGAGGTTATGTTTTTGTTTATAACCAATCATTGCCACGCAAATACAGTATAATCAGCTGATTGGTGTCCGGTAAAACTCATTGCAGAACAGTATTACGCAATGAAACCCCATTTGAATAAGCTGGCGGCAAACAGCTGTTTTCTGGACTAAATCCTTGCGTGGGAAGTTCGTCAAAATAGTGTAGTGTGGCGTAAAGTAAATTCTAGTACTATTTGTGGTCATTTGACATTTTTCAGTGATTGATTATTCAGTAAACTGAAGCCTACTAACTGACATTAATAAATAAATCTAATAGATCTTGAACATAAAATTCTTACAATTTGTGCATGTACATAAAAATACTATTGTTTGTTAAAAACTTCTACTTTATTTCAGATCTTCTTTGTGTGACAATGTTTATAAATGAAATACCAAGAAGTGGGGAGGGATTCTAGTATCCCAATGAAGAAGAACGACCTCAAACATGGAGAGGGTAAACTCTGGTAAAAGACAATAGGAATGTTCCAAGTATAACAGAGGTATCACTCAGCCCTGAACAGGGATATAATAAGCCAAACTCCTGCTCATAAGGGACAACCTTTGGAATTTACCCAGTGTGTTCTCTTGCAGCATTTGAAGTTTGAAGACCCATAAAATGACTCGCTCAGTTAATTCGCTTAAATGTGGTACTTGTAGTAAAGTTTTTACCCGTAAAGATAACCTGAAACGCCATGAAAAATATGGACATGATTTCCAGGAGCATATAAAGACACTTAAATGTGCTATGTGTAGTAAATTTTTTTCTCGTAAGGATACACTGAAATCCCACGAAGCGGAGCATAGGGTTGAGAACAACAAATCTGAACAATATGAGTGTGGTACTTGTGCTAAAGTTTTTGCTCGTAAATATAACCTGAAACGCCACGAAGAACTGATACATAATGTCCAGGTGCATTTAAAGACGCTAAAATGTGCTATTTGTGGTAAGGAGTTTTCTTGTAGTGATAACCTGAAACGCCACCAAGAGTGGCACAGGGAACATAGGGGAGAGAACAACCGATCTGGACGGTATGAGTGTGGTACTTGTGGTAAAGTTTTTTTTTGTAAGGATGCACTAAAATGCCACAAAGCCATGCATATTGTTGAGAACAACAGTTCTAAACAATATGAGTGTGGTACTTGTGGTAAAGATTTTTGTAGTGACTATAACCTAAAACGCCACGAAGAGATTGCACATACAGTCCAGGGGGAAATATATGAATGTGCGGAATGCTGTAAATCATTTACACGTAAGAACAATTTGCTTAGGCACATTAATCTAATCCATTTAGGCCTAGCTTCTCAACCTCACAAGTGTCCTAAATGTAAAAGAAGTTTTAAACGTCTTGATGGTCTGAAACAACATGCAAAAATGGTATGCTTCACCATACTATAAAACCATAGGCTACAGATAATAGTGTCATATCATAAGGAAAATTTAGTTGAAAGTTCCAAGGTTGGATAATTTGTCTTGCTGAATTTAATTGCTTTTTAAAATTTATTGAAATTTATACGTAGTCAAATGCTGCAGTTCATTGCAATTACATATTTACATGTATAGTTAATTTAAATATGTAGAAGAGGTTAACTTGAAGATTTGAAAGTAAGGTTCGCAGGTTTGCAATCGTGATACTGCTGCACATGCCCATGTCATGTCCGCTTCCAGACCAACCCGCCTAAAGAACGGGAAGTTTGTCAGATAAAGTTACAAGCAGATAAAGTTTGTACATGTTTTACATTTTTTATTTTTTTTTTGCTAGGAATAGTTATCCTATTGACATTTAATGTAAATTCCATAGGCTAACAAAAAATGACAGGTGTACCTAAAAGTTTTTACTTTTAGCAGCCTTCGAGTTAATACTTTTCATTTGTTAACGACACTTATTTAAAAAAGTTAATAATCTAATCAATAGTTTTTCGTTTTTCTATTTCACAAAACTCTTAATACTATTAAAGAGTGAATACTAAATGTAAAGGTTTACATGTCTGAAGAATAAGACTTTTATTAATACAGTAGAACCTTGATAACAAGACTCTCATGGGGATTATAAAATAAGACTTGTTATCAAGGTTGACTTCTTATCGAGGTTTGTAATAACATGTGATCGGGGTAAAATAATTTTAAGGGGATTTGAAAATGACACTTGTTATCAAGGGTGAGTTGTTATCGAGGGTCTTCTTTTCAAGGTTCCACTATAGTTCATTTAAATTAACAACATGTGTAGACATTGAAGTAGGCTTTGCTGTTTGTATTGATTTTGTAATTTAATTCTTACATAAAAGAATTTAGTGTGTTTGTAATTTTTAGTAAAAATTTTTTTACATTTAAATTATTTTAGTAAAAATGTTTTTGTAAGTTTTAGATGTAAAATGATTAGTGTGTTCGAGAATGAAGAGACATTTTTAAAGCTGTTTATTTTTGTAATGTAATCAACTACGGGCAATATGAATTTTTGTTTGTAATACAAGTTGGTTTTGTAGCAACTTTGAAGGACATGTTATAAGTTAAAGGTATCTACTCCAATCCAAAGCACAAGTAAAGCTACTAACATTAAATTTAATATGTGTCAAGAAATATTTTGTGTTGTTAAAATGCCGTAAGAAACTAAATTAACCAGTGGAATCAGAACATTTTTATGGTAGTATATTATTTACATTGTATGATAAAAAAATAAAACAATTTAATACAAACCTTTGTTTTTGCTAGTGTTTTCCTTTTTTACCAGTTTAAATATTGACATTTTCACCTAATAAAAATCGTAAAGTTGATAATTTGCAATTGAAAAATATAAAATATACAACTTCTGATTGTCCTGGTATTTATAAATTACAATATTACACGAATAATTTTGATTACCTTCATAGACAGATTTTTTATTGATGTCAGCTGTGCTATAACAATTTTCTGTCACACTGCAGCAAAAACAGCTGTTTTCAAAATTATAGCCTCTTCTCCCTAGGAGGGAATACAAATTGCCGCACATTTTGCTCTATTCTACACTTTGATTGTATGTAAGCAATCGGATCAATAATTATTTGTGTAACTGTTAATACTGTTCTATGAAATGGCGACCATACAAAGTAGGTATTTTAAGCCAAGTATGAATGAAGATAGTCTTGTTAGTGACTAAGGCCGACATTCCTTAGACACAGCTGTTAATTAATAGCCCATACAGCTAATGGCAACTAAGGGACCTACAGTTTATAGTGGAATCCGAACCACATTTTTGCCTTGGTAATTACGAATTGGTCTAATTATCAGGATAGTACTGCGAAAAGTCGTAGTACTCACCCGTGCGGACGTTAATCCACACTGGGGAGTATCGCATCCACAGTAGTGCATGCCTATAAATATCCACAATTTGTCACCTCCTAGTAGCTGGATTACAGGACGCCACCCGTCCCAGTCATTATGCCACTTTGCGCTTGTGTTACACATTATATTTTTACTGCAGTTAAATAATTAATTTTTTAAGCATATAAATAATTATTAGGCTTTCAAAACCTAAACAACAAATTTTAGGCTACCCAAGTGTTGAACGACAATAGAATGTTAACACACAACAACAAGTTTATATAATAAGTAAAGTAAATAGTAGTACCGTATCAATAGCCAAAAGGTTTTTAAACACTGCACCAGAGCTGATCATAGTTTATCTTCAAGCGTTGCCAATTTGTTTTCAAGCATACACGTTTTACTTGCCTAATACAAGCACACTATTTTGTGTTGTTTGTTTGAAATACTGGAGTGCGACAAAGTAAAATGAGTGCAGCAATGTAATTAAATGCAGGAATTAGCTACATGCTATATTCAGTGCAAGGAACCCCACTTTGTCAGGTAACTGTAGGAAAAAAACAATTGAATTGAAACGTATGACTAAATTTGTATGTATGAATAAGTAAACCGTCTTTTAGTAAATTAACTGTCAAATACACATTGATGTTTTTAATAAATTCATTTATTCATTTATTCATGTAAATTGTCACAAATTACACCATATACAGAGGAGTTTCCTCAATGGTAGATGACATGTCAAAAATATGATACAAAAATGTTAAAAACTAAATTAATGTAACTTAAACATAAATGATTATTCATAGAATGTCACTATTACACACCTAATTTGAAATAAATCGAAAGATTAAACCAGAAGTGGAAAGTGCAAATGTTACAGCATACACGAGTTATTTCCCCCGGGATATTTCCTCTCAAGTTTTACATCTTTGTCTTATTGCCTCAGCAACTATGGTGTTGTGAGAATATGTCCGATATATATTTTTGTATTTACAACTTCTATGAGTTTTTAGCACAAACTGTCAAAGCGCATGCAATTATAGTAACACAAGATGTTGCTAAAACAAAAAAGATTTTTAATAAAAAAAAGTTTGAAAGAATCTGCTACTGAAAAAAAAATGGTTTAGTGGATGCAACCGTCTTGAAATAAGACTGATTGGTTGAGCTGGTTTACCATTAGGTACTAAAAATTGCATTTTCCATAACGCTAAATTATGATACCTTTTTTTGGTTTGAGTGATTGATGTCTACTATGCCTCTTATTTATGAAAATTAATATAAATATTATACTCTTTGCATTATATTACCAAAACATACATACAAGCTCTTGGATACTTCATAGGTGCAAGAATCAATAAGGAAGCATGTTAAATTTGTGGTTAATGAATGTTAATCTTACTTCACTAAAATGGCTTTAGTAAAATACTGCCCAATTGCGTCTGATACACCTCAACTTAAAAAAAAAATTATAAGTATATCTCTGTATAAAAGTATATAAAATTTATTAGAACTGCTAATTTAAATGTAGTCCTAACCCAAATCATTGTTTGTGAAAACTTACTTATCCCCTCATTTACTTTGTTTTAAGCTCGGCTATTCGATAATTTTAAAAAGGAAAGTTTAGAAAACGGTAAACTTTTTAAAAGGTTTCTCTTACGAAGTTAACTTATATTTCCTCTCAGAGTTCCACTTGGCTATTACGCAGGGGTGCCCACAAGGGGGGGCCGTGACGCAGACTGCGTCATTGAAATTCTTGGGGGGGGGCTCAAAAAATTCAAATGGGGGGGGGCTAAAGTTAATTGCAACAGTGTTCAACGTGACGACAATCCAAAATACATTACGAAATTGCCAGATAGAAAGTGGATAATTAATGACAATAGTTATATTATAGAATTAAATTAGTTAAAATAGGATTTTAGGATTGTTTAGGATTCGTGTAGAAAGTTATTATTTAAGATTAGCAATACGTGATATCTAAGAGGGAGGGCACGGGATGGCTCAACTGCTGTGATAGATAAAAGATAACGCGTGGTACAGACACGTCCAGCTACACCGCGACTTAAGCACAGCAGAACGCTTTGTTGACATAAAGCTCGTTAAAATACAATCAAGTAGCAAGTAGCATAGGCTACAATACTTTACACTATTGTGTATACTCGATTACCTGAGTTAATAGGGAGAGGGGGGGAATGAAAAATACGGTTAATCCAATATAGTATAAAAACAGATTAAAAACTCATTAAAACGCTGTAAACATCCATTAAGTCACGATTTACATTTTTATAAACAAAATTCAATATTGCACAATCATTATTATTGTAAATTTCAAATCATTTATCTTGGTTCAGTTGTACAAACGGCAACGTTTAAAATTGCAGCTTACTCAAACTCAACTAATCACTAGCCAAACATTACATTGCTATAAATAACGTAAATATTAAAGGAACCTTTAGAAAGTGTTATAAGGTAGGTACTGCTCATGATAGACAGATAGGCTACCGATAGGTGCTGTATCACAGCATAGGAATTGATAGATAAGTAATAAAAAAGTGTAAAATTTAGAAATAGTTAAAACACTCTTAAAAAAGAATGTAACGAGAACAATCTTGTTATTCTCTTTCTTTGTTCTTCTGTTCATCAATAGGTTTCTCTTCAATTCATACGCAAATTCAACAAGTCGCCATATTTAGGCCTACTCATTGGCCAATCACAGCCTTACTAAAGTTACCATGGTTATCACTCAATCACAGTTTACTAAGCATTATATTGTCATCATTCCCCAGCTGTTGTATCTGAAATCTGTTGTAACATAGGGTCTGACTTAGGGAGGTACAAATGAGGCATTTAGTTCAAAATTCCTCCGTGAACAGCGCTGTAGTAGGCAATGTAGGTTTACTAATCGCAAAAATAGTTCTGTTCATAAAATAAAATTATAAATGCCTCAAATTCAATTTTACTATTTTTTAATTATAAGATTAAACTATCATAACCTAACCGAACTAACCAAACTTGCTGATAAAGAAATAATATAACAAAAGTGTAGTAATCGGAAAAATAATTCTGTTTATTAAATAAAACTAGAAATTGCTCAATTAAAATTGTATAATGACTTAATAATAAAATTAAACTGTAATAACCAAACCAAACCAACCAAACTTGCTGATAATAAAAAAATCTTGGACAAAAAGTTAACGCTACCAGCGGGATTCGAACCCGGGACCTACAGTATATCAGCCCGGCACACTAACCAATAGACCACCGAGGCCGATGGCTGTTGAACGTTTTGTTACGGTAATGGCGTTCCCTCAGCTAATAAGAAGATCTCAGCTGTCATCGTCAGGACTACTAGTCCTGTGTCATCGTAGCCTCTTCTATACCTCCCCTGAGTAAATACCTGTAACATAGCGCATAGCAGCCGACAGAAGTGTATAACGGAGCAGACGATTGTTGGCGCAAGCGTTGTTTCAATTTCATTTTCATCAAAGGAGCTGTGATGTTTCTAAAGGGAGGGAGAGGGGATCGTTATATCGAGAAAGACGCTAACAATTCGTTATGGATATTCTGGCAATAAAAAATTCCTTAAATTAAGGTGACTTATAAAACTCTAATTTTATTTATATAGAAAGATAAGTTTTCCAGTCCTGTACAAAACTGATTCACGGTCTTTTCCCTGTAATCAAAATTCAAGTACAACTTGATACACACAGAATCTCCGGTTCCCGACCTGGATGATGGCTAGTTATTTAATTTAATTTACAGTTACATATTAGTACTCGTGATAAATCAAACCCGTTATGTAAGCCAAAGCCACACGGTTATTAATCTCACTTGGTTTTGGATTTGCTTACAAACGTGATCGGAAATGGTTACGGCCTACACAGTATTCTTAAAGAAAATTTATGTAAACATATCAGTGACAGCTAGGAAAAGGAATCTTTATCAAAACAGCTGTTCATAATTTCATATTATATGACGTGTTCTCTTAACAGATTATTAGTATTTCATAAATTAATGACGTATGTAGTAAACATGGAGAAAATAAACTAGAAAAATCACACAAAATTGTATTTTTGATCCTCCGTTATTTTATTTCCAAAATAGTGAGGCCATATTTTAATGGCTATAAGGACTCTCTCGCCAATCATGTGGATACAATTAAACCATTATAATCATAATCGGTACTCTAGTTTTCTTTAGAGTAGGCCAAGAGTAGGCTTCATAAAATGCCTTCTGGGCCGTGACAGACGGACATAAATGGAGATAAGACATGTTTCAACTTCTTCAATCTATAAAACATAAATAACCCAAAATATGTATAATTCTGAGCAATGTACAGACAAAACTATAACTTTATTTATATAGATTAACTGGG